ACTTTTATAGATGCAATGTGATTTGAAAATAACTAAATTAAAATAATCAAAAGTCGTACAATTAGGAAGTATATCTCAGCTCACTGTGTTCTTTATACACTTGTGCATGGTAGAATTCTACAGCCTTTTTTATTTTAATATTTCAGAAGCGCGTCGCTCTCTCGTCAGTCGTCTCATGACACTGCTTCATCACAGCCAGCAGAGACTATACCCAGTAATGACGATGTTGTCCATATATTTACTCCACCACCACCGGAAATATCACAAGATACTCTCACGATGAAGAAACCCGAAAAATCGGCTACATTTTTAGTTAGTAAATCAGGAAACACACTGTACACTAGCGGACTTTCAAAGGATACCATACCGGCAAATGTTCTGTCAGATACCGGTGAGTTTGATAAGGAAAGCTCTATTGTTGATCTGAGGAGCATGGACGATGGCCGTAGATCAAGGGACACGTCTGCTGTCTGTCGTAACGGTTGGTCTGACTGTCTAGTTGAAAGCGAACTCTGTGGTAGCAAAAGTTCAAGTATTAGCGATCTGAGTCACTTATCTGTATATCACTCCAGTAGCAGCAGAGATTTCGATTTTGATGAATTTTAACTGACAACGAATGATACACTGAGTAAACTCACATTCCTATTGTGATCTACCGATACCGATTGAAAGTTCCTTAAAAATATAAATGGCAAAACCTGTATCAATGTTTATATTCATACATGATACTGTTCGCAGCTGCATGTACCTGGATTGCTTCATCATGCATATCACAAACAAACTGCAATCAGCAAGAATCGTGATCAACTTTATTTCAACAGTTCAAAGCGATAACACTTTTTATAAAAAATATATATACGGTATATATATACCTGGTAAATATTTTTTTTTTTTTTTATTTCTTCGAAGATAACCACATAAATACACGACATTATACAGAAAAAGAAAAGTATACCCATGTACAGGCAAATGAAGAAAGAGTTCACAACTAGTAGTTGTTATATTTAAAAGTATTGTACAAACGTACCCCACTTCTCTGCAAGCTCAGATTG